TCGCAGCCGCCGTCAATTCTTGAGTTTTTCGGCGGGGAAATTGGATGGGTCAGGTCCGAGACTTCACTACGAGTCAAACGGGACCGGTCTCGAGGGCTGGGGTGGCCGGATGTGGCGGTAGGACGGTGATCTCCGTCTCGGTGAATAGTATCGATGCGAACCAGAGAGAGAGCATGCGGGAGAGAGAAAGAGAGAGAGAGAGAGAGAGAGAGAGAGAGAGATAGATAGATAGATAGATAGATAGATAGATAGATAGATAGATAGATAAAACGGAAAAAAAAATAATCTAATTTTTAACCCCATCCCTTCTCAAATTAATTACGGTTTTGCCACCGAAGGAAACTTGATCGCCGAAACCTCGTTACCATTCCGAATTGAGTCCGCCACATGTCCACGGACTCACCTCAAAGCGATCAATCCAAAATAAATATCAAACACTGCCCCAAGCTTCCTCTCTGGATTAAGAAAATGACCGAACTACCCTGCCCCAAGGGTAATTCCGTAAATTCACATTTAATTAGATTAAATACTTTAAATTGAAAATTTATTTGGAGTCGGGGTGTTACACAACTCTCAACTACCATTTGTAGGGCTACCACACTTAAAGCACTTCCACCCATAAGGGTTAAGTCTAAGGGAAGGGCTGCCACTATTCACATGAATAGTGTCAGTCTTTGCATTTGTGGTTCCACCCATGAGGGCAAAGTCTAGGACAAGTCTAAGGCAATTACTATTTATTGTACTTTATTTCCTATTTTTTTATACTTCAAACCATTAATTTTAATAATCCTTTGTAATTAACTTTTCGGATAAGATTTTCACTCTCTAAAATTGTGTCATGTGTACCATGTCAGATACGATTTTCAGATATTTAAAAAAAATTATAATATCAGATTTCAGATAAGATTTTCACCCTATAAAATTGTGCCACGTGTCCCATGTCAAATATGATTTGCATATATTAAAAAAAAAAAAATTATAATCTCAGATTTCAGATAAGATTTTTACCCTCTAAAATTGTGCCACGTGTCCTATGTCAGATAAGATTTTCAGATATTTTTTTAAAATTATAATCTCAGATTTCAGATAAGATTTTCATCTTCTAAAATTGTGCCACGTGTCATCTCTATCTTCTAAATCCCTCTATAAAATTACACCATCAACTCATACCTCTCACACAATCTTTTATCTATTCCTTTATTTCTCAGATTTTATAAAACACATTTTACTCTCAATGTCAAACTTGTCGAGGGTGTTGGAGAGGTAACAGAAACAAAGGGAAGAAATCCGGCGTAGACGTGCTCAAGAAGATCGGGATGCCGATGAAGAAGAGGAACAAATGCTTGCAGCAGCGGTGCGTATGATGAATCAATCAAGGCAACACCGTCGTCGTCGTGCCCCGAATGTGGACAGACGTAGGGAGTCTCGGGGTAAGAATCTCATGGAGGATTATTTTATCCTAAATTCATTATATCCTGCTTTTAAGTTTCAAGAAATATATAGAATGCAGCCACATTTGTTCCAAAAAATCATGCATGATATTTGTAATTACGACACATACTTCATTCAAAAGCATGATGCTATTGGAGCTTTGGGTCTTATCCCGGAGCAAAAACTTACAGCTGCTTTGTGGATGCTTGCTTATGGGGCATATGCAGAGCAGGTGGATGAGATTGCAAGGATGGAAAAATCTACTATCCTAGAGTGCTTGGTGAGATTCTGTGATGCAGTGGAAAATTTGTACACGAGGGAGTACCTTCGCAAACCCACGCCGAGGGACCTGCAACGGCTTCTACAAAAAGGCGAGGCTAGAAGATTCCCAGGAATGCTTGGAAGCATCGATTGCATGCACTGGTAGTGGAAGAATTATCCTACTACTTGGCAAGGAGAGTACGGGAATCGGAAGGGCCAAAAAAGTATAATTTTGGAGGCCGTAACTTCATTCGACTGTTGGATTTGGCATGCCTTCTTCGGGGTTACCGGATCTCAGAATGACTTCAATGTCCTTGGTCAATCCCCGGTCTTCGACGAGGTATTGCGAGGTCATTCCCCCTAGGTCACGTACCAAATCAACAATTCCGTTTACTCTGGTGCGTACTACCTTACCGACGGAATTTATCCTAGGTGGACGAAATTCATGAAAACAATTCTGAATCCCCAATCCGA